AGATGGCTTCTAGGTCACTGTGACATGACTTCATTCTTTGAACTTTTCATTTACTTTCTGAATTAGATGTTTTAGTCTCATTTTATACGTTCTTATCCTGAAATCAGCTAAGGAGTCCTGGTTCCTTTTATTAGAGAGTGATATTTAGAAATCAAGGTCCAGGTAACTAGATGTGTTCACTGCTTACACATGTAGAAATGTATGCATACACTGACATTTATAGCCATAGAACTTTTCAAGAACTCAGCAAGGTTATTACATATAAAGCTTACTAGAAAAGTTAAAGGTCTGAGAAGAATCAAGACATTCCATAAGATGACAGTAGTGAAGAAGCGGTTCCATCAACAATCAACTATGACACAGCAGAAATTGTAGACTGATGTAGAAAAGTTGAATTGTTTCATATTGGTACTTGCACATATGTTTATCCATGTGGACAAAAATTAAACTGAATCCCTATTCCATTCTCTAGATAAAAGTCAACTCCAATTTAATCAAAGACTTGTATGTCTTTAGTGAGGTAAGATTATAAAACTTTAGTAGACTGCTAAAGTATATTTTATTTTATGGCCACAGAATAGGTTAATAGCATTAAAAATAATAATAATAAAATCATTCTGCATTAAAGTTAAAAATTTCTGTTCATTAAAAGACACAATAAAGAAAATAAAAGGATGGGCCACAAATTAGAAAATATATCCAGCAAAATATAAGGATCTAGAATACATCTTATAAATTTGTAAGAAAAACAATCCAAGAGAAAAATGGACAAATGTCATTTTAAAAAAAGTTATGATGCAAGTTCCTTAAATACTTAAAATAATGCTTAGTTTTTTAGTAATTAGGAAAATACAAATAAAATGCACCTTTACACAATGACCAGCTTAACTAAATCTAAAAAAGTCAGATAATGTCAAGTATGTGGCAAAGATGTGGAGCAATGGAAATATTCAAACTCTGGTAGGGCTTGTCCATTGTACAATCACTTTGGAAAACAATCAAGCTAGAGCATATCCTACCAACTTCACTCCTGAATTTATGGCCATCAGGAGAAATGTCACACAGAAATAATTACAATTGTTCATAACCATAGAAAACTGCAAACAAACCAAATCTCATCAGTAAAATAGGAAAAGAAAATGTGGTCTGGGTTACAGCAAAATCAAACTCTTAAACTGAATGCATCCCTGTGGAAAAACATTCAAGGAGACAATGTCCTTAAGTACCTTTTCAGGAAGATTTTGTAAAGATTAGATTACAAGCTTGCTGAAGGCTGAGTCAATACCACTTAACAGTCATTAAAAGCTTCCTACAGTTCTGTGCACAGAATGGTAGAAGCTTCCAAAACACAAATAATTAAGTCCTCCAAGAGCTAATAGCATCATATCCCGTAGCTCTGAACACCACACTGAGCCCTGGCAAAGGCAGGACTAAAGGCAACAAACAAACAAAAAAACTGTTACTTTTAAAAGAGGGTACTTAGTATTCACATAATCTAATGAAAACACTTGAGAGGCACCACTGACATTAAAAAAGAAAAACCAAAAAATCTGTTATTTTATTAAGTGGTTATAAGGACAGATGAGACTGCTTCTCATAGATAATCAGACTATCAAGTCATTAAAACACATAAATATTAGATAGCTTTCCACCAAAAAAGTTAAAAAGCTTTTCAAGTCAAAACAACTGGATTAAAAAACTAAAACACACCACACAAATGAGCAGAATCGCACATAGTGGTATCCATTATCCTCTAGTGGTAAGCTACAATGGTAGCCACCTGCTAAACAGACCGAGGTACAATGAGGCACACTCAGGAGGCTCATAACCAATCAAAAAGCAAAAGCAAATAGAACCTCAAAGCAAAAACCTTTACACCATACTAAGTTAACAAACTTCAACAATTTGTTAAAGTCAATAAGCTATGTATTCAAATTTGGCAAAGATAAAATATTTTTCTTGATTTTTAAATGTTATACAATAATGTGCAGGGTTTAGAATATTATGGTCTGCACTGTATATGGGCGGGAATATGTACAAAATCATTAAAACATATGGTAAGTTACATCAAGTGATGATTCTAGCTAATTTAGTTCTAATCCGCTTTGTTTGCTTTCTAACAATACTATTTTAAAAAGAGCAACTCCACAGCCCATAGAAGAGATTTCTATTTTAAGCAGAGGTGACAATCTTTACATATGTAAAAAGCTATTATACAGGTTAACAGAAGAAATGAATTGCAATGGAATACACTAGAGATATGTTAGGGGAAACCATTAGCTTTCATTCTCAAGGGTATGTGCAGAGGGTATCCGTTTAACAGTCTTTGAATTTATTAAGCCATAATTTTGCTACACGAATTCTTCATTTTTCCCTTCTGCGCACACTGAATAATCAGAAGGCAATGTTTGCTTTCCTCTCTACGGTAACAACTGTGCATTTGGCCTGAATTCTAAATAACCAGGTTCTTTATGAAAATTTTGAAATTCAGCCAATATACAGATCTTTCCACTAAAAATAAGCATGGGGAAAACAGGCTCAAATCGTAACTGTCATATTTAACTACTCAAAATGGGGGAGAACAGTTTTCTCAGACAAGTTGGGTAAACACACAGAAACCTCATCATAACCATATATGCTCTACTGTAACTAAAAACAAAATTATTACAAATCTAACATATGACTATTCAATTGGATGTTTGATGATATCAGCATCTATGGCTTAAAATCTATCGATACACTATTTAATCACACCTTTCTACACTGGGTAAACCTACACTAGGTTAGATATGATGGTTTAATATGTTAACTTGGCTAGAATGTAGTATTCACTTATTTAGCCAAACTCTTATCTATGTGTTGTAGTGAAGGTGTTTCATAAATGTCATTAACAGTTACAATCAGCCACTCTAATTAAAGGAGATTACCCTCCATAATGTGGGTGGGCCTCATCCAATCAATTGAAGGCTTCAATCTCAAAGACTGAGGTTTTCTAAAGAAAGAATTCAGTCTCAGGATTTTAGCAACAGTGTTCCCAGCCTGCCATACTTCTTTTGGACTTCCCAGCCCATACAAGTGTATAGGTCAATTTCTCAAGTAAATCTCACACACTAACACATGCATGTGCATAAGCGTTTGTGTTTATTCCTACTGATTCTGTTTGTGTAGAAAACCCTGAGTGATTTACTAGGCAAAATGAAGTTTCAAGCTTCATGAAGTTGAAGTTATACATGGGAAAAAAAATGGCACTAGCTTTAATTTTATTCAACTCACCTGGGGAATCACTAACCTATCAAAAGACCACTCCTACTGACAGAAAGACTCCCCTACTAACTAACAGGAAAAAAGACTGTGAGAATGGGGGCGGGAGTGGGAAATGCTGGTACAAGAACAAGGGATAGTTCCAACTGGGGGTCTAGAGAACAGGGAGGGCTAAAAGAAAACTGGGAAAAGCAAATAGAGAATGCAGAACTGAGTGGTACTGCATGCTCATTTCAAAGTTAGGCCTTGGATTAAACTACTAAACTACAGGCTTCCCTAGTAACAATAGAATTTCCCAGGTAAATGACAGGGTAAAAACATTTTAAGGAGGGAAAATAGGTAGTTTTGGTTAAAGTGAGGGTGTTGAAAAGTGAAGTATGAAGAGTGTCTCAGTACTCACAGCGGTTTGCTGCTGGACTCTGCAACCTGGACCCCAACCCCAGTGGACCACCTGGGTTCGGTCCTCTATCTTCTCCCTCACGCTTCTTTCCCTCTGCCTATAAACATGTTCAAAGGTCCCCTAATTCATAAAGACCTTTTCCCCCCAGATCCCTCTCCAGAATACAGAGGTAATAAGGTAAAAGGGGTTAATGATGATTTTAAAGTTCCTAGTCCTAACTGGGTGGATGCTTGTCCTATTAGATGAGCAAATGAAGTCAAAGACTGGGGAGTACTTGATGAGAACATATAAAACTTAAACGGCCTTTACAGGAAGAGATTTTAAACTAAGAGGTTACATATTGAACTTGAATCATGGCCTATTTTCTTTGGCCCACACATTCTTTCAAAAATTCAACCCATTTTTTAATTTGGGGTATTTAACATGCAAACCTTAATTCACAGTTTCTCTTGAAAAACTGGGAGCTCTGGTAATTTTGGGCCCATAATCCCAAATAGCTATCATGGCCAGAGTCCAACAAGATGCCTGGAGCCAGCACTCTTCCCTCATCCCCAGTACTGTCTTCCTGATGCTGAGTCTATGTCACCCCACTTACCCCACTGTTTTTCTTAATGTAGAAAAGTATTTTTCTTACCCTAGGCCTTCTTTTGCTCATTTCATTGTTGGCCAGACTCACAAGCTTGTAAATGGGCTGTAGAATGACAGAGTACAGAATGGAGATGAAAATGGGGTTTCTGACTGTAGGAGAAGCTAGGGGTGCATTTGTGGTTTTAAGGTGGGTCTGAAATAGGTTAAACTGGAAGGAGGTTGAGCTCTTGGGAGAAGATTGTTCACACTGGGAAGCAGCAACTATGAATATAATTCAAGTCAGCAAAAGAATGGTAAGAGTATATGAAAGCCAAGGTCAAGGGAGCAAAAGGTGTAAGAAAATTAAAAAATAAATTAAACTGATGGTGCACAGATTACAGCAAAAATTCTTTCAGTTGTGAGACATGTGATATAAAGATGAGAGTCCACTGTAATTAAACAACAAGAAAGTCAGTCTACACTACCCATGAAACTGTTGTAGTTAATACAGAGAGATGTTTCTCTTAATTGCTGTCAACATAAACATTATACCAAACTCCTGAAAGCCATTTTTTATTGACCAGAATAGTATATGATATCCAAGTTAGCTAAATTTCATCTTACATGTTGAAAAGCATTTTCAAATAAAAAGCCAAGACAGGAAAAAATATTAGGCACAATTCAACAACAAAATTTTTTTCAAATTATTGTAAGAAAATAATATATATTATCATAGTAACAAAACTGTGAGTCAACAAAAGGGAAAAATTACCAGGCTTGCTTTCCTCCAAATTTCTATGGAACAAGGATAGGAAAAGAGTCCACTTAACATGAGAAGATTTCCAAGAACTTAAAGCATCACACTGTGAATTAGTAGCAACACATCTGTGAATGAGATTTAAAAAGAAGGTATTTAGAAATTCTACAACCAAAGATAGATTTCCTCATTGCATTTTTATACTAGATTGATATAGATAAATGGGATATCAAATATAGACAGAACTCACAAGGAAATAGACAATGTATATAGAGATGGATAGAACTCATAAGGAAATATAAACTGTATATTAAATATATGTTGAAATTATCACCCACATTAATAATCAAGAAATATTAAAGCAAAACCTAGAACTATTACCAGTCATAATTTCTACATTTATAACAAATTAGCAAAATAATGTTTGTACCCTTGATACTAGTCTGAATTAAAACAGGTTGTAGACCTATAAATTAGAATAGCACCTTTGTTTTCTTGTTTTTGGTTTGCTCTGTTTTTCTATATTGTCATGTAACACTATGTAAATTTAAGGTATATATCATACTATCTGACACATGTATATTTTTAAATGATTGCTTTTTTTTTAACAATCCTTATCACATTACATAATTACAGTAAGTTTATTGCCTATACTCATTATACTATGCACTAGATCGTTATGATTATTTACTATTTGTTGTACATATGCACCCTTAAACAACATGTATTACATCTCCCCACTCGCCTACCCTGGTAAACACCATTTTATTCTGCTTTTTACAAGTTTGACTTTTTCAGATTTCACATATGTGTAATATCATACTGTACTTGTCTTTATCTAACTTATCTCATGTAGCATTAAGTGTTCAAGGTCTATCCATGTCATTGCAAATGGCCAACTAATAACACCATATTTACCACAACATTATTCACAAGAGTAAAGATATGGAAAAAGATGCCCAACAGATGAGTTAAAAAATATGTAGTATATATGTAAATGGGATTGTACCTCTAAAAGTAGGCAATGTTTAAAAAAAATGCTCAAAACCCTTGTAATCAATGGCATTCCCAGAAATGGATCTTATGTAAATAATACAACAGAAGCAAAAGGTTATGTGAATAATATACTCTGCTACAATGCTTTTTAAACAAACAGATAAAGAATCTGGAATCATGCCAATCATCCAACAACAGAAATGTTATCTAGAAAATTATGGTGCATCAACACTAAATAATTCACTTTCCTTTAATGTGACAATAATGAAGACTGCAAGGAAACCTGGAAAAATAATTGCTATCATGTGAAGATAGAAAATTAAATAATATCACTTTCAGGATTATAACCAGTTTTTAAAAAATTTAGAATGTGTTTGCATATGATCAAGTCAACCAAGGAAGTAGAAATAATAATATGCCAGAGTGATAAGGCTAGGAACATTTTTTCACTTTTCAATATTATTTTACTAATAAGTAAGAAGAAAATCTGGTATCACAGGATTATAAAATTGGCACCGAGACAAAAACAGTAGCCACAGAGCCAAGGAGATAGAACTAGGGAGAGCTGAATCTAAGAGAGTAGTAAAGGTGAGTTTTAACAAGTGAACTAAAAGAGGTTACCAGCTTGCAAAAATCAGGCTACCCGGGACTTCAGAGTGAGCAGTTTCAGCAAATGCTGTCATAAATGTTATACAGAGAGTGAGCAGTTTCAGCAAATGCTGTCATAAATGTTATGCAGAGAACTGATGAGTAAATAACTAAGAAAAAGATAACCTCATGCCATTTGCAGCAACATGGATGGAGCTGAAAGGGATCATGCCAGAAAGAAATAAGAAATAAGCCAGAAAGAAAAAGAAAAATGCCGGATGGTCTCACTCATAGCAGGAATTTAGAAAGCCTAAACAAGGGATCAGGAAAAAGACTACAATAAAGTAAAAATCAAAACCAACAAGCAACTATAAACCAGAGACACTGCGCGGCCGGGGGGCGGTGGGGGGGGGTATAGAAAGGAGTAGGAGCAAAACAAGGGTGGTGGGAATTTTATGGGGACTATAACCAAGATGAAAATGCATACACTGTGAAAAAATGAAAAAAAAAATTGATATGAAAAATATATAAAATAAAAATAAATAAATAAATCTAAAAAAAAAAATAACTAAGGTAAGGAAGTATCTGTGCGATACCTACCTGCTGAGAAAGAAATGGGTGGTAATATGGAGGAGAAAAGAAAGGAGTTTGGGGAAAGAGTCAGATCTATAAGTTTTATAGGGTATAAACTAGAAGTAGAGTGAGTAATCACAGAAGAGGGTAACTGAAAATTCAGAGAAGGAGACTATGAACCAGAGACATTCTATGAGGGGTGGGGGGCAGGGAGGGGAGGGATTGGGGTCAAAATAAGGGGGTTGCAATTGTATGGGGAATATAAAAATAAAATTTATTAAAAAAAATAAAAATAAATAAAAGACTGTGTTGTTGTTGTTTACTAAATAATACATGAAATAAAGACATGTCTTAGAATTGAACATCTTAAATTCAATAAAATGTGGTATCTGTGTCCTGACAAACTACTCCCTCATGTTACTACATAACCACAACAGAAAAGAACTTAGCATATGAGATTTTAAACTACTTTTATTTATAAATATGAAAAAGTGTGAACATTTCACCAGGCAAATTTCTGATTCTTTAATTAAATGATCTGCGTGATGAAAGTGATTCAAAGTTTACTTATGTTCATAAATGTAAATTATACATATACACTCAGTTGACTTGCTTCTCTGAATAGTTGTAACCATTTTACAGCACAAGAATAGTGACAGTTAAGGAAAAAGGACAACTAAAACAGCATATTTTAAATTTAAACATTATATACTTTACAACACTTTCCTATTGAACAAAAATCAAAGGCAAGAACATTTTCATTTAAAAAATTAAAATGGACTATTAGTAATGGAATACTAATTAATGAACTGTAAGGGCAATTTTAATACATGTTCATATCTTTACAACTTTTTTGTAAATCAAAAATAATTTGCAAATAAAGTTTTAACCTCAACATGGGTTACCTGGAAAGATAGAAGTTTAAAGAAAAATACTTGATGAACCATTACAGCATCAGCATCTTTGACAATGACCATAATCACAGCAATTAGCCACTCCAAAATGGCATGCACTACAAATTTTTTGTTTTACCAATAAGGAGACCAATTTTCCAGGCAATAAACTTATTATAGCCCTGCCAATACTATTGGGAACACACAAGAAAATCTAATCAATGAAATCAGCATTTCAAAATGTTTTCTTCAGCATAATGAACTTACATTTGGTCAGTGATTTACTTATAACACATTTAAAACACTGATTTACCATCAAAGCCAAAACAGGTGCCATGCCAAAAAAATTCCTTCATGATCTCCTAATTACATAACTTCATAATTACAAAGTACCCTCACAAATATTACTCTTATGATAAAATGAGCTATGCTATTAAAAATAACAGATCCAGATCTCCCAATTTTTTTAAAATATTATCTACACAGCTGGAGGCTAAATTCAGACAAGGTTCCTTACATTGCTGTATTAAGCACATTTTTCTTCAATGAAGGTCAGAGGAATGAAGGCCACAAAATTTTAAGACCATAAACTAGGATACGTGTTGTTACATCATCATCATCATCATCATCATGCAAGAAACTGTAATTTATTTTGTGTAATATCAGTGAAAAAGGAAAGAGCAGAATTCTAAACCCCCAGGATGTTATCACTATCTTTTATAAAATGAGAAAATAATTGACATTTTCTAATTATTTAATATAAGCAATGTATTACGTTAGGAAAAATAAAGAAACAGTCCCTGACTTCAAGAAACTTAAAGTACACAGGGGAAAGAAATATAAAGAACTTTAACATGTGGCAGAATATGGTAAAAGCTAGAGAATTTTATGAGAACACAAGGATGGTAAAAATCTTATTACTAATACCATAATTACATTTACATTATTGCAAGCTAAAAATATTCTTTCTGGACTAATAAGATCACTAAGACTAAGACTTTCTACTATCTTATTTTAGTTCTCCATTTAAAAATTTGTAAAATTTTGGGGGGCCTTACTGTTGATGCAAGGGGATAAGCACCACTATGAAGCAATCCGCAGCCTCTGCAGCACAAGCTCAATCCCCAGCAGGCCAGGGAGAAACCCACATGGCGCAGCAGACCTCTACTGTCTCACCCACTGCTCCCCTCAGCAGTGTATTTCAGTTAGTCTGCCTGTTCTGTTCCCCACTCTGTCTCTAGTGAATCCTCTCACTCCCTGCATCTCTGGCCTGTACCCCAGCTCTTGTATGCATAAATAAATAAATCTTTTAAATAAATAAATATTTGTAAAATTTTAAGATTTTCAAATTTAATAAACCCATTATATCTTATTTCTAACCTAACAGCAAAGAAATTTTTTTTGTAGTCCTTTAAAATATTCAGATTTCACAAAGGTCCTTATAACAGTAAAACTGAAACAGTCAAATAAAAACAAGTTAAAAGATTTTAAGAACAATTCTGGCTAATAAGAAAAATGCAAATTACTTATTAGCATTTCAGGATATGCAGAAGGAAAAAGTTAGACTCGATAGATTTTTTTAAGCAAACTTTTATAAAAATTGAAATAAAAAAATTGAAATAAATGTAGAAGTATGCAAAGTCTAAGTGTACACCTTTAAGAATTTGCACACATATAGTAAATCCACCTATATAACTACAGCCCAATCAAGAAACAGCCAAATCAGCACCTGATCCCCACAGCTCCCCAGTGACTTCCAAACCAGCAACTATTATGACTTCAAATCTGACTCAGTATCACAGGTTGGGCCTGCTGGCTTTTGAACTGATCATTTTACAACACAGGAAACGTATGAAGTTGGAAATTATTTAAGAGTCATATCATATGCTACCTTCTTTCCCTCAGCACTGAGTCTCATCTCAAAGGAAGCAGTAGTGCTATTATATGGACATAGCACCATGCATTTCTCCATTTACTACTGAATACTGAAGATCATTTTACTTTTTTTTCTAGTTTGGCATCAGTACCAATGATACTGCTATGAACGCTTCTGGACATACTCTTTGGAGCACTTATGT